TATAAAATCTTTTCTACTGTACTTTCTTCACACATGAAAATATACATAGACACCTTCATTATGATACGTGTGTGTGTGTGTGTGTGTGTGTGTGTGTTGCTATCTATGCATTTTAAGACCATGATTATCATTTGGTACATTTGTTTCAGCTGAAACCATAATAAGGTCCTTCCCTCGTGACTAGTTCTTGATTTGCTCTGGGTAAGGAGAGGGCGGGATAATGACCCTAAAGACATCCTGAAAAATACCAAAAATTTAAACTTCATCATCATCCCAAAGCTTAGCACTTTTTTTTTTCCGCAGAGATTAACAGATCAAGTATTATAGCAAAAGATTTGTCTGTCATCTATTTCCTGGACTTGGGGGGATAAAAGTGACTCTATCCAAAAAGAGGAAAAGAGATTTAAAGGCAGTCAGTTAGAATAAAAGAAATAAAAGAATAAGTAGCCTGGATAATCTATGAACTGGCCAGTTCCTGAATAAATCAGGAGGTAGGTTTGCATTAAGTAATGAGAAGTGTCATTTCCAACTTGTGATTGCTGCAATATTGGATGTTACTCGGGCTTTGTTTGAAGAGCAGATAAAGTAAGCCAGAATTAAATGGAAGGCTAGGAGAACGTCACCTATTCTGAATCCCTTCCAAATGTCAGTGGCAAATAAGATGTTGGTCTGAGCTCAGCAATCTCCTGACCTCCTTGTACTGGTTAAAACACTGGCCAGAAAAACTGATGCAATTATATTCGAAACAAAAGCAACCAATGGGGATAGGAGATTGGGGGGAGGGGGGTGAAGAAAAGAAAAGAAAGAACATGTTTATGTTGAAAGTTAAACAGCACATCAACTTTTCTGAACTACTCTGGAACGTAAAAAAAAGCAAGCACACATACAAAATGTATTTTGAAGCTTTTAAGTGTAGGTTAATATGTTCCATGTGCTAGCTTGTATTTTTGAAGAATACTGGAAGAAATAGGCCATTATTAAAAAGTGCTTACAGAAAACAAATCCCTTTAAATCTCTTCACTATACTATAAATGACAAACAAATTAATTTAGCTTTATGCAGTTAAAGAGAAACTGTTTATCTTTTTCTCCAACCTCAGCTGCCAGAAACATACCACACTATTTGTGATAAACAACCCATCTTTGTAGAAGAAGCCAAAAGTAATTTTGTGAGCACAAGAGGTTATGGATGGGGGAGTTGTGGAAGCTTCTGAGAGAAAAGGTTGCAAGCAACAGCACTTGGAGTGCCACGCCCACCAGCCATCCCAGTTACAGGTCCCTAAGCCTGGCAGGTTTCAAGAGCTTCCTCAAGAGGCCTCTTCTCTATGTGCATCCCTGATTCTACCATGACCCAGCTGATCCGAAGAGGGGAAGTGGTTGAAGATTAGGCTACCATAGTCCAAACTTGGGAAATTCTATGAGACCATAATAAAGTTCTATTTTACATTTTTGGTAATTCAGTTCAAAAACATGGCTTACGATCACTCTATAAAGTAAGCAAATGAGGCTAAAAAAAAAATTAAGAATACAATTAAATCACAAGGACCCTGGACAGAGATAATGGTGATTAACAGTAGCTAGTAGGGACTGCTTACTAAGTGAAAGGGACCAACAAATTTGAGCAGTCACTATCCAGACAAAACAAGAGTTGCCAATCAGCCTCCCCAAATATCAGTATGTGTGTCCTCTCTACAAAGATATGAATTCTTAGCACTGTATTTATGCCTAATTAATAAAACTGTTTCAGCTGGGCTCTATTAGTGACCATTTAATTCACTTCTATGAAATAAAGGGGGAAAAAACCCAGTCACAGTCTATGATGGTCTTCAGGAGATAGTTTTGCCCCAAACTTGACAAGGTTGAAATGTTATTTTCTCAATCCTCTGGCTATCTCTGGAATAAACCATGGGTCTAAAGGATACATTTGCTCTCTATTTCAGACTGGATGCAATTGATTTTAACTGACTAAATGATCCGATCTCTGCCAAGGATTTTATTTCATTAAGAAAATGATATTAAGGAGCATCTGAGATCATGGAGCAGACTGAACATAATGCCAAAGGAGTTCTGAGAATATGCCACAGTGAAGGTTTGATTATTTGCAGATGGAATACAAAAAAAGGGGGGAAAAAAAAAGAAAATCAGGTCCCAGGGGCAAGACTAACCAATCCTGGTGCCATTGCTGCCTGCCTGCCTGCCTCAGAGCACAAAGCCAAGGAAATAACTCATCTTTTATGCTACAACACCTTTTTTTTTTAAAGTAGTAATCACTTTTTTCCTAGAAAGTAATATTTAACTGCCACTATGCAAAATAAAGGAGCAAGGGGAAATGTTGGTACCACAATAAGCTCTAGCGTGTCAACTGTCACTATTGACACAATTTGGCTGGTAGTCAGGCATTCACAAAAAAAAAAAAAATCCAACACTAAACCTTAATTTAAATCCATCTCCTTTGGAAAAGCCAATTGTTTGGTATGCACAACAATTGGTGTAGATCAATCAGTGGACATGAGATCAATTAAAAGCAGCTTAAGTTTGTGAGGAGGAACAATTCACACAACTTGAGTTAGATCTCTATTCATTTCAATATGCTCACAATACACTCCCTTAAGCTTCCTTGCAGGGCAGAAAAGCTACTATGACCCTGCGCTGTCTAGCCAGTCCTTTAAGTAGTTCCACTTTTAATTAAAAACACAGTACACCCTTTGTTGGCACAGATAGTATGGTCACTTTAAAAACTGTAGTTATTTCAGGCATAAACTTGGGATTCAGGAAGAGACATCTGTTGAGGGAGTGAAAGCCAGAAACGTACTTTGATAGACTTTGATAGACATTTTCTGAAACAGCCATACCAATCACTATGTACGTGAAAGCCTTCAAACTTTAGGAAATGACAAGGTTGCTTTGGCGCACGTTACTGCCACACACTTTCTAAGTGGGTTTTTAAATGTCAGAGCTTGGGACTGTAGATGGCAATTGCTGCAAGAGATTTTGCTAAAGCAAGCTCTGAACCAAAGAGAGGATGTGATTCAGATACCCAAGAAGAAAAGCACAAGCAGAGAACCCTATAGGAGAAATAAATGCATGCAGTATCGCCCCTGGCCACAGGAGTGCTGTGATGCCCTTCTCCACCCAGCAGCATCTCTGAACCTCAGACAATGCCCTTAATTCTTCTCCACTCAAGCACAGGGGCCAGCAGTGTGAATCAGAAGTCCACCACCGAATTAGTAAGTCATGTAATAGTCAAGAATTTGCTGAGGAGTTTTAGATTCTTCTGTATTTTGCAAACTTTATGCACTTTGGTATTTTCAACAAAATTGATTACAATTCCAGTTTTTAAAAGTGGACATAGCTTCTCCAAACACTGCAAGCCACAATAATAGTAATAGTAATAATAATAGTAATAATAATAATAATAATAATAATAATAAATATTGTCATGTCTACCAAGCAACACCTGAAAATATAATAATGGCATGGAGAAAGGGCACTGTTGGAAGAAGTGAGAAGAGATGGAGAGTCACTTTTCAAAGTTGGGTGGCAACATGAAACTCCCAGCTTTTGAAGAGGAGTTTCTCCATCATGTTTTACATGTAGTAATTTCTGACCAAAAAAAGAGAAATATTCCTCAAATGTCAGAAATGACGCAGAAAAAAGACTGGGGGTGGATATATGTGTTCTTTATAGCAACAATAAAAAACACTGTTTCTTCAAAAGTCGCACATCATGTGTGACCAGATGCTTTGCTCTGGAATAGGCCAAGCGCTTCAGCTCATGAGGAACGCATAAAGCTCTTTAAAATGTCATCATCATCATCAACAACAACAACAACACTGATATCTCCAAAACTAGCTGCAGGGCCAAAGTCCTGATCCCACCAGAGACGTATATAGTCTGGAAAAACAGAGTCAAGGTCTCCAAGCCTCACGACAAATTTTATCAGCGTAAAAGATCAAATTGGTGGTCAGACAACTGCCTCTCATCAGGTGCTAACAAAGGGCTGTTGTGCAAGGGCCCTGAGCTAGTACTTCAACGCTATGCTTGTGTGGTGCGGTTTATGTTTACGTCCCTACAGAAAACTTCACTGTGCTTGGCTCAAAAATGCATTTGGCTTAGCCACCACCCCCCAGTAAGACGGGAAGACAGGAGTCCAGAAATATACACACACTAAAGTTTAATTCTTTGAAATCTTTCTGGAGGCTTCCATCTGCCTTCACCCTTCACACAAGTGATGGAGAAATGAGCATTTAAAAAGACTCACATGAATCTCATTGAGGACAAAGCCCTTCCCCCAAATCGCCGCTTTTGAGGAAACAAACACGGCAATGTGGGCTTATTTTTAACAAACATTCACGCTGCAGGGGAGAACTTCCTGAGAAAGCCAGAGCAGGAATTGCTACTTAATTCATTAAGTTCCCATCTCTTTTTGGGTTCCAGAAAAGTAGAACAGTGTTGCTTTTTTTTCTCTCGGCAACTCAGGTTCTCCCATACAACATGACATTTCTCCCCAACACCAACACCCCCCGCGCCACACACACACACACACACACACACACACACACACGCCAGACCACGTCTAAAATTATCGGGGGCAGGATTTAGGGCACACGTGGGTCGGGAAATTAAAGACACTTGGACTTCGAGGAAGATGATTAAGAAGACAAAAGGAGAAAACTAGAAAAAAATGGATGCCACATAAGAAATATGATCCAAAGAAGAGTTCAGGAGAGACAGCACAGACTGTGGACCACATGATAAATCCCTGAGCGCTTGCGGGAGGGAAGCCCAGCCAGCACATCAAGCTCCGAATGCTTCTAAGGTCTCGCCGCGCCTACTAGGGGCAGAAGAAAGCTTTCTGTGGAGCTCCGAGACCCCGAGAATGGGCAGTTGCAGCCCACACAAAAACTGGGGTACACAACACAGTCCTGTCCCCCGAGTCCCCAAAGCCTAGAGGTAGATAAGCACTCCCAACATTCCCACCCTCTCAGGAACCCTACGCACCTTCAGCCAGGCGCGACCCACCTCGCTTATTGCGTCTCCATCGGTTGCCTTGGCACTGGCTGTAATCCATACAGTTCAGAATGATGAGGGCAAATGAGAAGAGGCAAAAACGCATCTGGACGGTCGGGCTGGGGAGAGACACCTCTCAAAAGTCGAGGAAACGCTGAGCTCCTGCAAGGAGACAGTGCGGGTCGAGCTCCTAGGGAGGACTCAGAGACAGATGCCACTGCCCTGAGGCTGCAATGATCAATTTGGCTCGATGAGCATCTCTCCCTCCACGGTGAACCTGGGAGATGAGGAAAAGAGAAGCTGGGTGGTTGGAGGACCGAGAGAACCCGGAGGAGGAACCTGCACCTTCGCGCCTCTTGATTTAAAGAAAGGAGGGAGGGGGGACGCGAACACACGGGCACGACTCACGCAGCAGTTTAACGCAGATGGCACAGCTGCAGGCGACTTGGAGAGAAAGGTGATTACAATCAGTGAATTAGCAACCTCTGCGGAGCAGTGGCTTACTGACCCTGGGGAAAGGGCGTTGTGCGAGCTCTGCTGAAGGAAACGGGATAGAAGCAGCCGAGCGCAGGGCTTTAAAGGGGTGCTCTGAAGCGCTTCGCTCCCCGGATGGGCTATCCCAGCGCCACGGCACCAGGTGTGGATCGCCTACCGTGCGCTTGTGTCTCGGGCTACGCGGCGTGCCTAGGCGCGGCGCTCCATCCCAGGCTCGGGAAGCGAGCCGGGCAGTTTAGTCAGCACGTGGGCTCGGAAAAAAGTTTGCCGACACCCGCCGGGAGCTCTTGGCAGTTTTGGGATTCCGCCGGCTGCAGAAGGGTCCGCGGACCCCGAGGGTCCTCGGGGCTGGCGGCGCCTAGCAAAAGCGCGTGGCCAGGCAAGCGCGACCGCAAGCGCTGGGATGCTGGGTCTCCGCCTGCGAGAGCGATTCCTGGGCGAGGGGAGCGTCTGCTCTCCTCTTGGCGTCCGGGTCTAGTCGCTGCTCCCAAGGCTTTCTCCACTACCACTTCACAGCTGAAGTTTCTCGCTGCCTGAGCTAGGAGAGACAGAACACTGCCCAGAGGCCGAAGGGATGTGGCCAGCGCACTTTCCGATGGAGATGCAGACAAGCTAAGGCTCGGGATGCTTCTATAAGTAGGTGGTGCTGTGGTCCAAGACATCTAAAGCCAGGCTGCCTTAGAGTTCCTGGGTCCTAAAGCCAGAAACGCTCCGGTTTCCCTGAGGTCCTAAAGAGCACTGACAACATGCAGAGAGCTTCGTGTAAGAAAAATAATGCTCACCAGGCTTTCCCAGAGGGAGTGTCTGTACTGGAGAGTACCTAGGGTAAGAGATATGACCTAGCCTTGCTGTTCACACCCAAGGTGTGCTCTCAATGAGGTCGGTTCCTACCTCACCAACTAGCCTTTCTGGTGAGGAACTAAAGATACCTTCTACTTTGCCTCCTGAGCTCCAGGATAAAACTGCTGCTTCTGAAAAACACTTCATCCATTTTTTTTTCTTTTATTTGCAAGAAGACACACCTCTAACCTTTCTTGAAAGTTTAAATCCCAGCCCTGTTCTGAAGGCACACTTCCCCAGATCTGAGAAACTGAAACACACGCTCAGTTTAAGGAGTGAAATTAGTATTTCCCATTGCCTTTACCTTTCCACAGCTGTTTTTTTTTCCTTGACTTTATTTTTTCCCAACAGATTTCACAAACATGTGTGATACTATACAATGCTCAAAATATTGAGAGCGTTCTTCTTTAGAACCCGTTTGTTTACCACTAAACTTGTTTTGTTCTTAATCTTTACCCTTCCTAAATTAAACTTTAGATGCGCTGAGTTGGAAAACTATTTAGTATATCATTCATTAAAAACACTAGGTGCTACCAATTTCGATCTAGTGAAATCTTCTGTCATACACTCACTGCTGTTGGAAGTAATGTATTTCTTCTTTGAGCACAAGATAAGAATCTATAATGTTAGAGGTGGTGATATAGACGTCTCTTTAGATATGTTACTAGGCACGTTGTTACTGTTGCTTTTTAGTGGCTGTTGGTTGGTTTTATTTTTGAGATTGGGTTGTAGCCCAGGCCAACCTGGAACTCGTCCTGGTAAAGCTGACCTAGAATTCCTGATCCTTCTGCCTCCACCACCTAAGTGCTAGGATTACAAACACATGTCACCAGTCCAGGCTCTATGAAAACAGTTTGTACTATTTCAAAAATTTTCAGAAATTTGAACTGAAGAATCATATAGAAGTAATGGGAGCTTTAATAGCTATGTTTATTTCTTATTCCACTATTGTCTGTAATATTCCTATTCTAGAAATTATGGTCCCTGAGAACAACTAAGTGAGCTAGAGTTGAAGTTACTGCTGATATTTCATTGATAAGAAAATTGAGCCGTGAGGCTTGCCCATAGGGTGCAAACCTCTGACTGGACACATGGAAGCAGTTACTTTGACCCAGCTTCTCAAATCCTCAACTTTTTATTTAAAAAAAAAATATTGTTTGTGTGTATGTGTGTGTTGGTGTTTTGCCTGCATGTGTATTGCATGTTTTCCTGGTCCCTTTCAAGGCCACAAGAGGGTGTCAGATCACCAGGAACTGGACTTACAGACAGTTGTCAGTCAACATGTGGATGCTGGGAATTGAACCCTTGGTCTTCTGGAAGAGCACACACACACATATATATCATATATATATATATATAAAGCAATCTTTTTAACTAATTTTTTCTATATATGTGATATATATCATATATCTATATCTTTATTATGCAGTCTTTTTAACTAATTTATTTTTGTTTATTTTTTCATTTTTTTCCTTTTTCTTATTTGATATTTTCTTTATTTACACTTCAATAGTTTTCCCCTTTCCAGGTCTCCCCTTCAGAAATCCCCTATCCTATCCCCCCTCCTCCTGGCTCTATGAGGGTGCTCCCCCACCCACCCACCCACTCCAGTCTTCCTGCCCTGGCATTCCCCTTCACTGGGGCATGGAACACCCTCAGGCCCAAGGGCTGCTCCTCCCACTGACATCCAACAAGGCCATCCTCTGACACATATTTGGCCGGAGCCATGGGTCTCTCCATGGCACACAGCATTCTTGACTGTTCATTTTATCACAGAATTTGGAAATGACTGGAAACAACTCAGGATAGGCTATTCTCTCTCCAGCTTGATAAACAAACACCATTCTGTCCTCAAACATCTTCACATGCACACACCTAGTGTGCTGCACTTACAAGGAAGAAATACAAAGGAGGAAGAAAACGCTTTCCTAAATAATCTTCTCAGTTCCAGCATAGTTCTGAAACACATTTAAGAATGATAAATTTATCAGCATCAATTCAAATGAGCACAAACACAAGCGTATGTAGTGCAACTTTACTGGGATACTTTACAGTTATCTGGATCTCCGTTTCTTGGGCAGAATTTTCAGGAAATTAGATCAAGTTTTCTTTCACCTCTTCTACCTACAATCCATCTTTTAGGAATTTGCTATGAGGTCTAAGGAGTCAGAGAGCAAAGTCATCAGTGAATAGATTGAATTTATGGGCTGCTTACCCCCCAATACTTCAGAATTTCACTCCTTTGGGTTGCCCTGTGTTAACCTGAAATATTTTACAATGGTCAGTTTCAGTGTTCAATGCATGAGAAAAGAATTTAATACATCAGTTTTGTAGCTTATGGTCAAATGTGCTTAATAACACAAAAATATAGACTCTGGAAGAAAAGATGCCTGAGTACTTTTTGATGATATTCTGGTCTCTTCCTTTTTTGTAAAAGATAGGATAGATCTTAAAAGTTTGTCACACATGCAGTATTTAAAGTCTCATGCTTGATTTTCTGATGCAAAACTTATCTGTATAAAATATTTTTCTTGTCCCCACACTAAGTATTTATTTCAAGAATCTAAGATGGTTCTCCCACTTACAATATAGCCTCACTGGATCCCAAACTATTAAGCATCTTAATCCCATACATATCTTTGCTTCCTTTTATTTCTAAGTTGAGAATGTGCTGTTGTCAGAGCTGGTGGTTCACAGTCGTGCCATTCTGGAGACTCAATAGACATTTTCTTCTGAGTTTATTGATTTCATTAAGGAGCTTTGTAAATAGGTGTGTGCCCAATGTTTGTTTACAAAACACACTGATGGGCTGACTCCATACCGTTCACTGCTGTCAGAATGGATCTCTTCCTTGAAAAACGGTTTATTCTTGAAAAGCCTTTGGGGTTATGAGTCCACTTCCACACATTCAGAGATCGATATATTCTAAATAAAATATGTGTGCCTATCAATCAAATGGGTGTATTTATGTGTGTTGTGTTCTTATCTTTAACAGAGATTCTCATGACTCTCTTTTCAGCTAGAAGGTTGTAAGAACAGGAGTGTGAGATGTTCCAGATGGCAGGCAATTTTTGTGTCTTTCATTTTGTATCATTCATTCAGATAGCTTAAATTTTCAGCTCTTGCAAAAGACCCTCCTATCTAAGGCTCTCGAACCTCACTCTCCCAGACAGCCTGTTCTCTTTCTTAGAGTTATTTTAGTATAGCTTTCCAAACTTTGAGTAGACTTCAAGAGTTAAATCCTTCAACTATTTGTATGCTTGCCAATCTGTGTGTGTGTGTGTGTGTGTGTTCACATATATGTGAATGTATGTGTATTTACACATGTGTTCTTACCTCATTTATATCCTAATCTCTCTTTTTGGGGCAACTTGGATAGTGTAGTTACTAATTCAGACCTCAATGTTTTTAGTGTACCTTGGAGATCATTCTATTTCAGTTCAGTGTTAATTTTTCTTCTTTTCAGGAAATTAAATATATTCTCATTTTATTTAGTCAGCATTGATACATTGATAAATTCCAACTAGGAAAGTTGAATTAAACATTTACACATACCTTTATGTTCTCTCTTTCCCTCTCCCTCTCTCTCTCTCTCTCTCTCTCTCTCTCTCTCTCTCTCTCTCTCTC